ATTTGGTCACAATGCTGAATGTTGGGAACTTAAATACGATTAAAGGAAGGTATGAAAGTTGTGAATTTCAGGGGAGCAGTGGTTACCCACAGTTACAAAACACTACTCCAGACTTAATCACCATGCTATGGGTATCATTGTTCACTGAATCCAGCTGGGCCACAAGGAATTGCAACTTTGTCATGCCTGTGGTGGAAGCTCAGGTACTTGAAGCCTGTCACATATGCCTGATCAACCTAGTAACCATCAAGGAAGAAGCAAAATTACTTTCCAGACTTCATTATGAAGCCCTGTCCAGACTTAATGATCAATACCCTCCCCATGCTCACAAGTCACTGTTTAAATAACTCTGTTCTGCAATTTTGCCTGTGCTCACCTGCTTATACAATCTGCTTATCTATGTTGAGCCACAACTCAGTTTATCAATGACTATTGTAAACACTTTGTCTTGAATCATTTTCTCAGAGGAAAAAAATGGGAAGTTGAGAAATTCACAAGGGCTTTCTTATTACTTGCTAGAAGGGAGTTTTCTTTCTTGTGACCTTATGCTGATCTTAATTTTAGAAAGTTCCTTTTCTCTCCATATATGCACAAGCATGAGAAATATGAAAGTCAATCAGATATGAGCTATGAGAAAGTGGTTTTCAGGACAGGTGACCTGTGGGGACTGAAGGGCACTTTGCCCTGGAGGGTAACAGGGAGGGCCTGTGGGTGTGGCAGGGTGCGAAGGTTGAACAGAGGGGGCCAGGGAGGAAATCCAAGTGATGGTGCTGCCTGTGCAGAGTAGTAAGCAGCTGGTCACAGCTCTGCTTGCTCTTTTAGTCAGGAGAGCACAATCTGGGAAGAATCTGAAGGACTGTACAGGTTACTCTGACATTGTCAGGTCAAATGGTGGCTAGACTAGCCCTGGCTTCTGATTTGAAATGTCTTCAGAGAGTTTCTTATCTCAATCTCCCAACCCACTTGAATGTCTGACTATCCCCAGTGCCTGCGTAATCCTCACTTTGTCTAGATTCTTCTGTTATGTCCCCAGCCCCTAGAAGAATAAATTCTGTGAGTTAAAAACTTCAGGTGGCACAACAAGGGGGCTGTATAAAGGCAGGGGTCTCCGGCTCAGATTCCAGCTGGCAGACACAGGTCTATGCGTCTCTAGTTTTACTAGAACACTTCTTCAGTTTTCTTGACTTAGGAAGAAAAGCCTTGGTTCTCCCTCTGGCCTCAAGTTCTCAGGTATCCAGGACTCAAGGAGCCTCTCGAGCACCTGCCCTGTCTCTAAATTGTTCCACCCCACCTCGAGGCACAGAAGGGATCTACCAGGCAGCAGGGTTAAGATGTGCTTCCTCCATTGTTGGGTGAGAAGTGAATTCAATGTACTTCCTGGTTAAATCCAGAACAAAACTCCTAAAAGCCTTGAGAGAAGAAACTATTACAGGAAACGATAGCTATTTCTTCACCTCTCCTGTTTTGAGTGAACTGGGGTGTGAAGGTTGCAATGAATAGACTGGGATGAAATCCAAGTGATAGTGTTTGGGGAGTGGTGAGAGGGGTAGGAGTTCTAAGCTTAATTGATCCTACCTGCCAATCGGGGCAGGTTGGGCGTAAAACATCCTGGGAGAAATTTTGAAAAGAGTGCCCTGAGAAAGGTCTGCAGTCAACTAGTTGAAAAGTAAAACTCCTCCAAGTTGGAGCAGGCAGAACACCCCCCTCAGGTGAGACAGGTGGCCTGAAGAACATGGCACCCACTTGCCCACAGTCTGGCAGGTAGCAATTGCCACCCTCTGTTCTCTGGAGTAGCTGAAAGCAGTCACGACTACCATGAGCTCAACATTTTCTACAACCCAGGCCTGTGGTAAGTGCCTGCCATGGTGCTCACGGCTAATCCCTGCAGTGATAGCATCAGGTGGACAGGTGCCCTTCCCCCTTCCAGTTCACCAATGAGAACATCGTGATGGGGGGGGAGGGAGGGGGTGGTGACCTTTCCTCAGCAGCACACAGGAGGTGACAAATCATAGGCCTTGCTGTGACCTCTGGCCTCCCAGACCTGAGGTTGGCAGTGTAAGCAGGGTGGGACTTAGTTGTTCATGTTGGCTGCTACAGGGTTATGGGGAAGAGGCAGATGTACAGGGTAAGGAGCTGCTGTTTATATGCAAATCAGGATTTTATGATGTCCTGGTGGCTGGAAAACTGGCTATGGGATGACTGGGCTCTGAGAATCAAAGGCTGGAGGAGGTAGAACAGAGCCTGTGTGCTATACCCTAGGGACTGCAGAGGGGAGGGAAGGGGGAGGGAAGGGGCGAGGGACAGCATGAAGCTGAGAGTGACACCCTTGGCTTGGGTTCCAATTCAACCCAGGAAGGAAAGGAGACTATGAAGTCCCATGTGTAACTGCACTCTGGTCCCCTCTCAATCCAGGGCAATATACAACCACCGGGCTCACTTCCTGTGAGAGTCTAAGGCTGTGTCCCAGTCTTATCCTCAAATGACGTCAAAGGAGAAGTTATAGCACCCAGTGTGACTCAGGGGTGCAATCCCAGTATGCTGGCTAGTCACTTTAGACCAGCACTGCCTGAGTAAGCCACAAGGACAGTCAAACCTAGGAAGAAAGGCCTAGGGCTTCATGGCACTGGCCTGTGAAATGGCCACAGCAAATTCAGGGCTAGAATATTTGCAAGGCAACATGTACCCAATTAAGGTCAACACATGGTAAACAGGGAGCTTTTATTTTTGCTCATTTCTTTGCTACCAAGGCACATTAGCTCCATAGCTGTAAACCCACAGCAGCGGGTGGGCCCCAGACTAAGCACTCCCTTCTTGGTGATGCCACTTGAAGCAGGGGACATAAGGGTGGGGAGGGGAGGAGGCACTGAGGAAGTGGGAGGAGGCACTGAGGAAGTCACTGCAACAAGAAAAAACTCCTTTAGGAGGAAAGAAAAAAGGACTGAACTCCCGCCCTCAAGGCTTAGAGGTTACTGTAAGGCTTCAGACAGATTTATGGGAACCAGTGTATCCATACTATTTCCTCCTCCCAGGAGGCCCAAGTCCAGGTTGCTTCACTCTGGCCTGCCCCAGCCCCCTTAAGGAGGGTTGGCAGTTCCTGGTGCTTGATATGCAAATCCCATAATCTCACTGCTGATAAATGGCTCTACAATGGATGACTAATACTATCCTGCCCTGTTGGCAGTTTATCTTCTGTGCCTGCAAATCTTAGTTTATACCCTTTAGTTTCAAAACCCCACACAAGTAGGAAATATAGAAATGACTTGAATAGAATCTTGCCAAATTACGCTAACCAGAGACTCTGGAATGAAACAGTCCAAATCCTGACCCTACTGTTTCAGTTGTGTGATTTTGGATAAATTAATTTCTCCATACCTGTTTCCCACAACTTTACAGTGAAGGGATAGTCAATGAAAAAATACTTGCAACATGGCCATCATAAGAAAAAGGCAACAAATGTTTGCCATTACTAAGTCAAAGCCTGATGAGCATCTCAGAGCAAACCCTTTGTAGTCATTCTCCTTTCCAACATTCAAGACCATCTGCCCTGGTGTAGGCATTTAGGTTAGCGTGGGATGGCTTGGGGAGGAGGAGCTCTGAGGATCAGGATTAGGGCTGGATGGGAAGGAGGACAGGGTGATAAGGTTGGTCTAAGGGTTATCAAAGAGGCAAGAGAGTCCTATGATAAGGAAGGGTTGGTGCGACCTCATCTTGACCTCCACTCTGCCCACTGAATTCAGGAACTGGCCAGAACCAGCTGGCTTAGCACCTGCTGCTCGAATGTCTTGCCACCAGCCTGCAGCCAGTCTGCTCAGGAAGGCAGGAGGCAGCCTGGTGGTCCTCAGAAGGCTGCAGAGTTTGGGAGGTGGTGAGAGGTGTGAAGGAGAGCTCTACCCTGGAGATGGAGACTGGATTTTAGGCCCATGTTCTGTACTGCCTCTCTCCTTACATATAAAAGAAGGGCATAGAAGAGACACTAGAAATCTTATCAGTAAAATCACTGGCCATCTGATAGTTAACCTGAAAAAAAAAAAAAGACAACTAAATTGGCAGGCCCAGACAGCAAGCTTAAGACAGACTGTGTAGAAGGAAGCTGCTACTTGATTACATAGCCTCATCAGAGAGAACATTTGGACCCACTGCAGGGCTATGGGGATGGACTTCCTAAGTGAACAGGGGTGTACTTTATTCTTTGTGTTTTTTTACTCTGTGTGGAGTAAACCATATCAACCAGCTAATCAACCCCGCAGAGAACAGAAGATCCAACTATATCTACTGCTTACTGAGTTCCAAACCTTTGGACGGTTAATTGGTTGTAAGTAAAATGGACCAAGGCATTTATACTGGACATGTGGTGGTGGGAACTGTGAAGGTGGAGGGCAGTCACAGAGGTGCGTGCCAGTGCTAAACAAGCCTTGGGCTCTATGTGCTCCAGTCATGTTTCACCTCAGACTGCAAAAACGAACCCCTGACAGAGACTGACAAGACCAGCCAGAACTCCCAGCCTGCTGTGTAGTTGGAAGGAGCCCATCAAATGTGAGCAAAGTCATGTGTGATGCCTCCCCCCCCACACACACTTTACTCCCAAGAGAAGTAAACAAGCAGCAAGTACCTCTTCACTGTCTCTCTTCCTTTGCTATGGCATCCTTGGGGCTGCAAGACAGAAAAGGGCCAGCGAACATGAATTGTACTCTGTGTGAATGAGAAACATGTCTAGCCACCAAAGGTTTCAAGCTCAGCCTGTTGTAGCAATGCTTAGCTGTCACTGTTCTGGATCAGAACCAAAGTTTTGGTTTTTTGTGTCTGAGGTGAAGTCCAGTTAAGGGATATACACAGGAAGGTAGGCCAACTTTCCCTTCTGGAATTTGCTTTAAGTTAATAGTTCTACCCATTCTGCTCAAAGCTTTTAATTTAGTTAGATCTTTACTCTCACAGTGGGATGGGAAAAATTCTTCTAGACAGCCAGTTCCTTTTGCTACAAAATGCATTTATTGCCAGCTGGATAAAATTCTTCATTTGCGTATTGGGGTACATACTATACAGTTTGTCTGTGGTAAATGTCCTGCTTATAAGAGCGCTTTACTTTTAAAATGCAAACCAAACAAACATCTTTGTCTCTTTAACATATAACTTAAATAACTGATAATGTATAAGCTGTCAGTCTGGTCACTGAAACAAACGGCATGTGACTCTTCACTGATGCACCCAGAACAACCGGACACCCCACGAGGAGATCCCCCAGATCACAGTAGCGAGATCCCTTAGGGTCGCCTGCTGATTGTGCAGCTAGTGCTGTGTAGCAGTGATCCTCCTGGGAGAAGTCAAGCGCAGACAAAGAAGTAGGACCTGGGCGGCACGGAGAGGCATTTCACAGAATGCAAACGCCGTTCCAGTACACTAATGGATTCTACGAGGAAAGCTTTGCAAACACAAATCTGTTTATACTAGATATTGTGGCACCTTCTCACTGGCATTCAATAAATATCTGTCAATGAAAGAGGAATCAGAGAACAAGCTGTGGCAGTGGCCCTGGTGTCCAACATCTGTTTCCAAGACTGGGCTTGAAGTTGAGTTTTATGGATACCATTTTTTGTTTCTTCGGCATAAATCATTCTACTTGCAAGCCATCGTTTCCTTATCTGTAAATTCTTCACGAGAGTTTAGAGACATCCTGAGTACTACATGCATCGGGGCCCATTGATTAAAGAAGAGCATAGAAAGCTCCACACAAAGTTTTGTCTCTTTAGTAAGTAGCCTATTTGGCTCAGAATTTCTAGGATCTAGTTTTTTTATTCACATATTTCTTCTCTCCTTTTGGCGCCTGTCAACTTCTTAAGTCAGAATTAGCCACAGTAACGCCTAGGATGAGATGTACATTTCTTCATCCAGTCTCACTTTGTATCAACAGTTTCCAGTGCTCAAGATTTGAAATAGTTGGTCTCATGAAGGCCTGTCCTTCATCGCTCTCCATCTGCTCCTGGAAGGTAAGGGCCATGTTCTATGGTCCATGTAGGGGAGTTCCCCACAAAGGAAAATCTCTGGCCCTTTTAATTCTCATACCTCCTCTCATGCCTCATAAGGCTATGGTTGCAATTCTGGAGACACAAAGGAAAAGTTTCTAAACTCATCCTGGTTAATCATAGGGAGATGTCCCTCATCAATGGGAGTTAAGACGGGTTCTTCCTTTATGAAGTCAGGGTCAAAGTTACTGACATCTTCTCGGGATTTCTGTAAAAAAGAAAACAAGGGTCACACTTTCTGTATGTAAGACTTAGCCTATTCCAGTGAGTTCAGAGAACTTCTCTGCAGAACTTCAGAAGCTTTTATTTTCTTACAGTTACAATTAAACAGCATGTTGTCCTAATTTAGCACTGCAAATTATTATGGACTCTGGTAGCCAGATTTCTTGGTAATCCCACGGAGGTCCTGCAGCACAGGCCAGCACAGACTGAAGATCACGGCTCTGGCCAGCGTCAGCAGCCAGCTCACACCCCCTTGATGTTCTACACTTCCTGTCCGTGCAGGCTGAGTTCACACCGGCCCCACCAGTTGTTATTATCCAGGTGTGCATGGTGAAGGGTTTTTCTGAAACACTTTTTGGAAACAAATCCCTCTCAATTTACTCACCAGATTCCTAACATGTCTGGCAAAGTTTTCCCTAATTTCAGAGAAGCTGGCAGGGGGACTCCATGGTTAGGAAATGGCTCTTCCTCCAGGGCCTAATGTCTAACCTCGTAGGTGGACCAGGCCAGCCACATGAAGTGTGTGCTTACATCTTTAGAAGCCAATGCTGAAAAGATCCTTCTGCCAATATCACTCAACTCTTCCTTCTCTTGCCCCAGTCAAAGACACTTCACTCTTCACCTTTGCTGTACCCTTTGGTCCTCGCCGTGTGGATCTTGGGACTCAGAGATGAGAAGTGACTCACCTCTTAGACCATGGCCACCCTCAGGAAAGGGACCCTCCCCCTTAGCTGCCCAAGGGGACAGATTCCAGCAACATGGAGTAGCCTGAGCTCTGACCTGTGCTCTCCCCGCCTAGGAGTCAGCCTCTGTGAGATGAGTAATATCACATGCCTTGTCTATACTTTCTTGGAGGCTTGGGAAAAGCTCTCTGACCAAAGAGTGTGAGGAAACTGGCTGGGAACAATGACTTCTCAGTTAGCCAAACTCTTGAGAAAAAATGGAAAGTTGCAGGCCTCTCAGACCCCAGGGAACATTAACTTAGCTCAGGGAGGATGGACCAGGGAGAGTGAGAGGTAAGACCATGTGAAAGTACCCTGGGCACATGGAGAGATGCTGCCGCGGCAGCCAGGCCAGACTGCCCTGCAAAGGGTCAGGCTGAACTTTTGGGGAGGGGACACAGCAACGTTTTAAGAAAGATGGAAGTGTTGGGATGGCTTAGACACTTACAATTCTGGGTCTGAAAGGTGGTTCCAGCTGGCGATGGTTCAGCTGAGTCCAGTCGATTTCCTTGAAGAAAGGGTGTCTCAGGATGGCGTGCTCACCGCCCTGACTCAGGCTGCCCAAGCGCATGGTGGGGTTTTTGGTCATGAACTGAGAGGGGAAACAGAGGCAGTCACTCAGGCATCCACAGTGCGTCCCAAGACAGGAGGCTGCCGCTCTGGCAGGGCAGCAGTGTGAGGTTTTCTGGCTGGTCTTGCTTACTAACTGCATTTTCCAACTAGGGGTGTACGACCAACATGAATCACCGCACAAGGACACAACTGCTGTGTTGTCTTTCTGGCCTATCCCACTTCTGCTTTAGACGTGGCCACTTGAATAAAGCAGAAGGATCTAGTTCTCTTTTTGGTAAACACCACGTATGTTCCTTTGTTTTTGTATAGAAACCCTACGGAACAGGGTGTCTTTCTGCAACACTGCAGTTGCAGAGAGTTGACGTCTTAGAGAGCTGACTGTTGAGGAACGACAGTGCTGTTTTCTGAGCCATCTGACTAGTCTGTCAGGATTCCTGACAATGCAGAAAGCAGAATGAAAGTCTTTCATACAACAAAGATATCCTATTTTATGTTTTTCAGTATCTTCCTTTTCCTGCACCCTTTCATTTTGAAATGTTTCATGACTAAGACTGTATAAATTACCCAAAACTAAAATAAACACCGCCACATACTCAAAACAGTGTGCGTGTATAAATTCTCTATATCATTTGGAGAATTTCCTTGGAACTGAGCTCCAATTAAGATGTTTTGGGTTAACTTTACTTTTAGAATGGCCAATAAAGATTTTCTGTTCACATTGTTGCAAGGACTAGTACAGAATAATTCACTTTCCATGGCCAGAATGTGATTTTCAATTTCAAAGACGCTTAACTTAATTTCTCATTTATCAATAGAAAGTTCCCTTGGAGAAAAAAGTTTTGTTTGGGTTTTCAGTTTAAATCAAGTTACATTTAAACAAATTTCCCAGAACTCATAGTCTCCAAAGCCCCTTTCCTATGCTGTGCTCATACAAATAACTTTTGAGCAGACTTTCCAGAGTAAAAGAAATCTCATTGAAGGTGCAGGCATGAAAAAGAACACAGGGTTTGGAGGTGACTGCCATGCCAGGGTCCAGAGTGGCAAAGCCTCCTTACTGCTTCAAGTGAGAATAATCCTGTGGAGGAAGTGGGCAAAAGCCCCCAAGCCAAGCTAACAGGTTATATACCTCCTCAAACACTTAAACAAAACAAGGCTTCAAAGGGAAGCTAGTGAATAGTGAAGGCACAATGGGGCCATTAAACTTCTCTCTCCTATTGACAAGGAATGAAAGACCACAGGGGTGCGGGCTGGAGGTGGAACTGACAGCGAAAGGAACATCCCAAGCTCCAGCAGCCCCACTCCGGTCACATACAGTGTCAACAGAGATTTAGAAGCTACAACACATTTCAGAAATGTGTGAGTTATGTCAGCACTCAGAATCCCTGCTGCTTTGGCTCTCTCTGGAGAAGCCTGTGCAACTTAGAAGCAGGAAACTATCCTAGAACAAAAAGTAGCTTCTCTCCTTAGGAAAGTCAATGGGAAACAACCCCTGGTGGAATAGGAGTGTCCAGGCTAAGTGCTAATTAACAAAAACCAATGTTGCAAAAACTAAGGATACAAGGATGGCAGAACAGGCCCTGGTGGCTTGTGGGAAATTCCCAGGCCTGCCAATGATGTGGGCAGAGGACATCTTGTGAATGTGTGGGTACAACTTGTTCTTCTGAACAAGTGGACCAGTTGCAGGGCTCTGGATGCCAGGGTGGCATAAGCCCTGGTGTCCAAGAGACCTTGCCCATTCTTCCTGGCCCTTGGCACTGAATCCAAGCTTCCAAGGGGCACTGAGGAAAGGCATTGTTCAAAGAAAAGTAGATCAAATCACAGCTATTCCTCTTTTAAAAACTGCATCCCTGGAAAGGAGACAGGCAGAATAACCCTTTCACTAGCTTGCTACTTTTTCTTTTTCTTAGGTTCTGATAGATCCTTTAACTTTGTTTTGACTTCTACTTTATTATAGTAAAAGACATTCAATACACAACATAAAAGTTACCATTTTAACCATTTTAATTGTAGATATGATGCAAGCATATTATTATACAACCATTACCATAACAAAATAGATGTGTTTACAATATTATTGACTATAGTTCTGAAGCTTTCCATTCCATTCCATGATTACTTCTTCTTATAACTAGAACTTTGTATACCGCCAGCAGCCACCAACTTGTTCTTTGTATTTATGCTTTTGGTTGGTTGTTTATTAAAGTCCACATATAAGTGAAATGGTATGAGATTTTTCTGTCTGATTTATTTCACTTAGTATGGTGATACCCTCAGTGTGCATCTATGTTTTCACAAATGGTAGCTTCCATTCTTCTAATAGGCTGATATCCATTCTTTTTGATGCCACTGTAAATGGCACTGTTTAAAAATTTCTTTCTGATAACTGTTATTGTAGAGAAGTACAACTACCTTTTGCATAGTGATTTCATACTCTACAGCTTAACGGAATTTATTATTTTTTTATTATATTTATTATTTACCAGTTTTCCTTGGAATCTTTTAGGTTTTCTCTATTTGAAATCATAGCATCCACAAAGAGTGGTAATTTTTACTTCTTTCAATTTGCATGCCCTTTATTTAATATTCCCACCTAATTGCTCTGGTAAATACTGTGTTGAATAAAGTGGAAGAATGGGCACCACTGTTTGTTCCTGTTCTTACAGGAAAAAGCTTCTATTTCTTCATGATTCTAAGAATTTATACCTTTGTTCTAGTTTGCCCAATTTGTTGGTGTGTATATGTTCACAGTAATTTCTGCTTTTGTGTCTCTTTTTTTAGTTAAAGGCTTGTTTCTATCTTTTCAAAGAATCAGTTGTTAGTCTCACTGATCTTTTTTTTTTTTTTAGTCTCTCATTTATTTCTACTCTGATTTTTATCATTTCCTTCCTTCAACAGACGTTGGGCTTTATCCTTTTTGTCTCAGCTTTAGATATGTAACGTTAGATTGAAATATGTCTTGCTTCTTGAGTTAAGATTATGGTGCTACAAATTTCTTTTACCACATCCCTTTTAATTTTCTAAAGCATTAACTTCTTAATATAAGAATATCATATAAATTACATAAAATGATTTAATTATAAAAAGCAGTATTTTACAATTTCTTCTTTGATTTCTTTGTTGACACAATAGTGGGGTTCAGTACTATGTTGTATAGTCCTCATAAATTTCTGATTTTTCCTGTGGTCATTTTGTAATTGATTTCTAGTTTTATAACACTGATCAGAAGATATGTTGGTTTTTAATCTTATTAAATTTATTGAGACTTTTATAGTTTAACATGATACACATAACACATTATTCCATGTGTGAAGAATGCATATTCTGGTTTTGGTTGGAATGTTCCGTTAAGCACACTTGGTATAATGTTTCCTAGTTTCCTACTTGGTTTTTCCTCTAGGGGATTTATCAATTGATGTTAGTAGGGTGTTAAAGTCCCCTACTTCTATTATGCTACTAACTTTTAATCTTTAGAGCTCTTCAGCTATAGACAGCCTCCACTTAAAGCATTGTTTATTTCAATTTGCAAAGCACTTCTATATACAAGACAGCACATGAGGTTTTCTGGAGAGACCCAAATAAAAGAGCTCCCCATAAAAGAGCTGATCAACAGACACTTGAGTTGGATAGGTGGTAGAGGGAAAGCAAATGTTATTTTTGCTATATAGCTGAATGAAATGAAAGGAAGCATAGCAAAGTGTGTGAGGGAAAAAAGACTGAGCAAATGTACCAGGGTAAAAAGGCAAGTAACAATTCAAAGAGGTGGTATTTGGTGGGAAATGTGGTAGATGAATATAATCACAGTAGGCATGAAGGAACAACAGTTGTCCATGACAAACACATGCAAACATCTGGTATATTTGTGAAGGATCGCAGAGCATGATAGAGCTAGCATACACAAGGATGTGGGGTAGCCAGAAGAATCCATCAAATGTCTATTTAGAGGAGAATGACAAATGTGTAGCCATGCTTAGGAGATGACCCTAGGCAGTGTGGTAAATAAGTTCCTAGTGGAGAGGTGAGAGCTTGATGGCAGGGTTGACACAATAGCTAAGAAGACATGACAATGACAATTCAAAAAGAAGAGTTTCTGGTTAGTAGGAAGGGAAGGTTGAGAGCTAGTCCTAAAGTGCTTATAGGAAGAAGGAACACAATTCACACTACCGGAAGCTGGGGTCAAGGAACAGGAGGGTAAACAGGGCACAGGGTCTTCTTGGCTATCGGCTTAGGTGGTGGTGGTGAATGGAGACAGGTAACAAAGGAGAGCAACCGAGTATTGTTGGTAGTAGAAGCCCAGCAGTGAGGTGGCAGGGGCAGTAACAGCAATGCGGAAGTAACCTTGCTCTATCACAGTACTGTGCTTTCTTAGGAAATTCTCCACAAGCGAAAAAATAATAATTTGCTAAAGACACAGATTAGTGTCAGTTAGTGATTATTTTTAGCAATAATATTTTTTTAACTTAAGGAACATAATTATTCATAATGCCATTTCACATTTAATAGACTACATTATAGCCTAATCATAACTTCTGTATGCACCAGGAAATAAAAAAATTGTGACTTGCTTTACTGAGATATTAGCTAGATTGCAGTGGTGTAAAACTGAACCCACACTATCCCTGAAGTGTTTGTCTATATATTTGTCAGGAGAATGAAAACAAAACCAACTCTAATGTTTCCTGAGGTTTGGGAGGTTGATGAACTCAGCTTGGCATTTGAGGTGTGCGGACATTCATGTTGAGATGATCGGCCCATGCAAACATGGGATGCAGGTCAAGATTGGAAATATAACTCAGGAGACATCAATGTTTGGTGAGAAGGTGAGAGCAGAAGCTGCGAGGGTAGGTAAGTCTATGGAGAAATAGAATTGAGGCCAGCTCAGGCACATTTGGTCTACATAGTGTGTTATAAATTAATTTACTTGTCAAGAACATCAGTTTTTTCTTTTTTAAAATTTTATTTATTTGTGTATACAAGAGTTCATGGATGTGGGAGGTGAGAGGACTCACCAGAGACAAAGTG